CAGAAGATTCGGGGTAGGGGTGGAGATCCGTCGGTTTAGGGGTGGAGATGGGTGGGTTTAGGGGTGGAGATGGGTGGGTTTAGGGGTGTAGATGGGTGGGTTTAGGGGGTGGAGACGGGTAGGTTTAGGTTTATGTAAGGTGGGAGGAGTTGGATCTGGATCCAACCTCGCCCCCTGGATCTTGTGTTCTGCAGTGAGGTCCATCTCGGTGCGGGCGGGAAGAGACTCGTGTGTGTGTGTGTGTGCGGGATGCTGGAGAATAAAATGATTCGCGGGACTCCCACAAAATAGAAATTATCTAAACATAAAGTGTCTAAAACATATAAATTGTTATTTATCTGTTGCACAAAAGCAAAAAGAACAACTAATATTAACATTAAAATGATTGACATGTGCAAGCTAGGCAAAGTTTCTATTTATAACATGTGTTTAAAGGATTGCGCAATGTAGCCAATCACAGACATAGCTGTTGATTTCTGTAACGCAATGGCCAATCAGAGGTGATTAAGTTAGAATCTACTCACCGCAGTGCTGACGAATCATCTCATTTTAACACACGTAGTGTAGACATTGAGGAAGATTCATTGTGCATACATTTATTGTGTTATAACAGAGCTTTATGAGATTGCGATTAACTGAGATGTCAGCTTTTAGTGATAATAAAGGAAGCACTGCTCGCATTCTGCCATGCCAAACCATGCATGCAGCAGCACATGCTTGCTTTTCTGTTAAAAATAACAGTTTGTGAATGTTGATGCTTAGCCTAAATTGGGACGCGGGAAGTAGGGGTGCTGAGGGGGCTGCAGCACCCCCTGTTTTCACATGGTTGCAAATGCAACGCCAGGTTTGTTCATTTAAATGTATTCAGTTTTAGCATTTAATAATTTATTTGTAATGATCTCTGAAATGTAAATTGTAAGTGGGCTATAATAAACCCATGTTTATCTTTATAAACATGATTAATTTTACTTGTGATGTTTTCTATATGGGATGAATGATTAGCCTAATCCTCATGAACACGTGACGCTAGCGTATGTATAAAGTCACTAAAATACACAAAACTACATACAGTTGCTTTAACATTAACAAACATTATGACATTAGCTACACTCAAAAAAATATTGGTCTAAATTTACATTTTATGTAATTCAATTGCATAACAATCTTCCATCCATTTAGACAGGGGCGGTTCTAGACCACAGTAACTGGGGGGGGCCAGACAGGGGCCACTTGTGCTTTTAGGGGGCACAATTTTAAAATTCATCTTAAACTACTTTAAGTAGCCTATTATTCATTCAGTAATTTTTCACCATGTCATGTATCGCTGCAATCTAGATGTAATCTATAACAATGTCAACTAAAATATGTCATATGACACACAGCAGCCACAAACAGATATAGGCTTATGTCTCTAATGAAAAAGAAACACACACAAAAAAAAAACAATAAAACCATCACAGAAAATTGCCGAAAACTGACGCATAGCCTACGGCGTAAAGGCTACGGCGTAGGTCCGACGCAGATGTATAAATCAGCCTTTAAAGTAGCCAGCATTGAAGCAGTGTTGGACTTAATACGGTTCTTATTATGCAATAAGATGCAACAAGGTCATATGGTCAACATGACTAAGCTTTATGTGCCCAACAGGATGTCCAATGTCCAGCAGGTCCAACAAGACAAAGTCTGTAAAAAAAAGGACCAGATATAAATAAATAACCAGTTGGTTGGTTGATTTATTTATTTATTTTTTTAGTTCTCGTTTTGATAATTTTGTTATGTGTTTTGTTGTTTTTATTTGTTTTATATTTCTATTTAGCTGTAACTATTATTTATTTGTTTTACAGTTTGTTATTTTAGTACTTCACCTTAAACATATTCTATTTCAGTTAGTTGGCTACATTTCTCAATTGTATTTAAGCCATTTAAGTATCTAATGTGTATATTCTTTTGTTCTATTTTATTTATTTTAGTTATTACTTAATTCATTTTTATTTTTAT